TGAATTCACAGATCTGCCTGCCTCTGCCTCCCAAATGCAGGGATCAAAGGTGTGTGACATCATCGCCCATCAATACTTAAAGCTTTAAAAAAAAAACCCATGGCATTGTGGAGGATAAAGGAAGTTACTTTGAACCATGTGTTTAGCTGACTTTTCAAGAAGCCAGCAGACAATCTGACCTGACTACAGATGCCTCTAGTTGGTCCTACACAGAACTGCCACTGCCACCCGAAGCCCAAACATCTTCAGTGCTTGTGTGATTTGCAGCTATGACCTAGTCATCTGGGTAAGGAACTGGGAACTTCTGTAGAGTCCAGGGCACTTTCCAAATGTCTACTTCTTTAGGACTAGAGAAAATGTGTTCTGCAGAAAATACAGGCCATCCCTACTGAGTGCAAGAGACTGAAACTCTCCTTTACAGCTCAGAAAATTGTTCAAATTTTCTGTCTGGAGATGTAGGTCATTTTTTAAGAGTGCTTGTCTAGCATGCAGTTCTGGGTCCAATCCACAGTATGTGAAACTACACAAGGTGGATCATATCTGTAATCATATCATTTGGGAAGTTGAGGCAGGAGTATCAGAGGTTCAAGGTCATTCTCAATTACATAGCAAGTTACATGTTTGAGGCCAAACTGGGATACATGGGACACCGCCAAGATCTAAAAAGGAAAAGGAGAAAGGGGAAAGTGAAGAACCTAGGTAATCACAAAGTATTTCTGTACTTCTTTCCCAGTTTATCATCCAATAAAAATCAAATTTAACTTTAAAGGGAAAAGGACTACCCAAGTTAGAGGAAGATCAACCTGATGGAGGAAAATGTGAACCAAGTCAGTGATACAGATCTGTGAAAATACCAGACTGCAACCCATTAAGCAGGGCATCACCAACACAAATGTCAAGTAAACAAAGGTCCAAGAAACTGTAAGCATAGGAAGGCATCCCTGGTCAGTTTGTCTTGAGTTTCAGGTCCTGGGGTCAGACTGGATGTTCTTCTCATTTCAGTCTGTCCAATGGCTCATAACCACTTCCTTACCTAAGTGATGGGTTTGCTTAGGCCATGATTCTCAACAAAAGGGAAATGCTTGAAAAAGTCAGTGTTGTAGAAAGCCATCCTGGGAGCTCAACATGCACTACTATCTTCATCAGAATTGCTGACCTTCATCTGAGAGTCTAGTCATTCCTTCCTATACCTTTCTCCCAGTTGTATTTCTATACCAGGGCTATTCTCCTGGCTAGGCTTATGCTATAGAGTATATATAGTGTGGAAGTTGTCTTCTATGCTGAGACTTTCTGGTAGTGTGGCAGCTTTCAGTCACCCACAAACCTTTGAGTAAGCCCAATACACTCATTGGCTCATCAAGCTTGACTTTGGGGCTGAATCATTTCTTTAGTCCATTGCTGGTGCCTTCTCCAGGATAAGATGACTTTCACATCTCTACAGTAAAAGTTCACTTGACACTCAGAAACTTGCAAGGTGGGCTGGGAGCCTCTCCTAAGACTGAACCAAACATGTAGTCTTACGTATGAAGATCCTAAGGCTAGACAAAATTGCTAGAAACAGGTTCAGGGCATAGCCCAGACCACCTGATTCCCAGGCCCCTTTCTTGCATTTCTAGGCTTTAGCTAAAAAGGCTGCCAAGTTCTCACATGGAATTTCTCTCTTCCCATTCTCCCATTCATAGGTAAATCTGGTAACTGTTCTTGACTCTCTGCCAATATGATTCTGACATGCTGAAAACAATCCCCATACTTACAGACTAGAAACAGGCTGGGTTAAACATGCTACTTTGGAAGAGTATTTACGGGGCTGGTGAAATGACTCATCCCCAGTACCTGTGTAGGAAAGGTTACACTCACCTGTAATTGCAGCTCCAGGGAATCCAATGCTCTCTTCTGGATTCCATAGGCACCTGCACCTTGTGCATATGTTTACACAATATACACATAACTACAAAAATAAATTTTAATGGGAGGGTGGAGCAGGCTCACAGAGCATGATCAAATCTGAGTTTTAAAAAGCACATATAGTTGTTTTGTCTTATTCTATTTTATTTCGTTAAAAAGAAAACCCATACTATTTCCATACACTCTGTTCCTTTAACAGCCTCATAAGTGTGGGGTACCATCACGCCATCTTAATAAGAAGCTGTCAGCAACTCAACAATCAAAAGGGAACCAACTAAAGAGTCCATGAATGTACCCATAGTTCACTGAATTTTCAAAGTCAGCTTTCACAAATTCTCCCATTTCACTTTGGAAACTGCCCCCAATCACACTTCCAGAAAACTGTCTCTAATACTTCTAGGAAACAAAATTTGAGTCTCAGTACATGAACCCTGGGAGGCTTACTTGTTTTCTGAGATATTATGAAATCAAATCTACAGGCAAAATTATCTTGGGCCTTGTGATCTCTGAGAATAAATGCAATAGGGTACTTCATATGACTTTTACCTAATTTTAATAACAGGATGTTTACCCTAGGTACCTAACTTTTCCCAAAGAGAGTATATTAGTTACTACTTTGTAAAAATTACTATAAGGCACAGTGCTTAAACGACAAACATTTATGATCTCAGTTTCTGTGGCTTTGCTGGATAATTTTAACTCAGGGCCTCATGAGGTTGTAATCAGTGTTAGCAAGGGTTGCAGTCATTTAAGACGTCCCAGTACCAGAGGACCTGCTTCCAGGCAGGTTCCCTAACATATCAGTTGGCAGGCACCTTCTGCTTCTGACCCCTATATCCTCTCCATGGAACTGCCTGGGAAGCCTCAAAATTCAACAGCTGGCTTGCCTCAAAGTGAGTGATTGAGGAGAGATAGGAAAGAGCAATGCCTTTCAATACCCCTGAATATCTTTATTCGTTCAATGTCTCAGATTCAGGGTACTCAGGGAGGAAACTGAAGCTCCATGTCTTCATGCTCCATCCTATATGTGTAGCAATGTAAAACCACAGGCTAGCAAGAGCATTAGCTTTTCATTTGCTATAATGCACCAGGGCCCACTGCACTATTTTCTTCTCCTTCCTTTTCTCTCCCACACCAACTATCTACCCCACCCTCAGATGTGTACTCCTATTTCTTTCTTTCCTAGACAGAGACCAATCTAAGGCAAAATAATATTTACTATTCTATCCCCACCTAAGAACTACATAATCAGAATAGAAATTGTAACATGACTGCAATAGGTATATACAATGTGTATATATACATATATGTAATACACATATACAATAATAGTCTTTATTATTGGTGTTTCCACCTACTGGATGAAAATATTTTGAAAGGGGATCAAAAAAATAAAAATGTTTACTTCAAAGCTAGAGAGATGGCTCAGTAGGTAGAGTGTTTGCACCAAGCCTGACAACCTTAGTTGGATCCCAGAAACCCATATGTTAAAAAGAAAGAACCAACTCCTGCAAGTTGTCTTCTGACTACAACAGGTCAACACAAAAGAATAAATAAATAAGTGTAAATAATAAATTTTTTAAAAATGTTTATTTTAGGCTGGAAAGCTGGCTTAGTGGTTATTACTCTTATAGAGGGCCTAGGTTCTGTTCCTAGCACTCATGTGGCTGCTCACAACCACTTGTAACTCCAGTTCCACATACACGTGTGCACGCACAAACACACACACGTGGCCCCTATCATCCACTTCCTCTACGTAGGCCCCATCTCCTAAGGTTCCACAAACTCCCTAAACGGGAGCAGTAGTTAGAGACCAAAAGCTCCAACACAAAGCCCTGTGGGCACATTCACTGCTTCCAAATTTTCTGACCCTGAGAGGATGAGACAGTGGACCTGGATTAGGATAGCAACGGATCTAAAATGAACAAGGAAAGCCTGATGTAAACAGCTTTTTAATCACTACACCAGGATGTCTACATGAGATTCTGCCTCTGCAATTCTTTAAAATGTTCCTTTTCTTAAGATAAAGTAGTATAGAAATCATGGTGATCCTACCTAGACCACAGAAGTAAAAAAAAAGAAGCAGAATTCAGTTGCTCTTATAATAAGAGAGGAGGAGCTGGGGAGATGGCTCAATGTTTAGAGCACTGGCTGCTCTTGCAGAGGATCCAGGTTTGGTTCCCAGCACTCACGTGGTGGCTCACAATCACCCATTCCATCAAAACATCATTCCAGGAGACCCAACACCTTCTTCTGGTTTCTGAAGGTACCAAATATACACATGGTACAAACATGCAGGCAAAATACACATACACATAAAATAAAACTTTAAACCCTTAAAAACAACATCAAAACTAACAGCAACAAAAATAACACACTCAGGGAAAGGAGGTGGATCTGGTAAAGAGATGTTCTTTCAAAATCCATAATCATATAGTAGCTTTATAGAATGTACAGAATCCTCTGGCCATCTAGACAAGACAAATGTGTGACAAACACCTACATGTGGTAGAGCATACCTGTAATCTGAACACTAAAGGCAGTTTGAGTCCAGCCTAGTCTACATAGTGAGTTCCAGCCCAGCTAAGGTTACACAGTAACCAAATCAAATCAAATAAACAAAAAGAAGTGTAAGAAATAATTTTGGCCTCAGTGTCTACGGCAGTCACTATGAAAAGTGCTTTCACTGCGCAGCACAAGATTACTCTCCAGAACCTAGCAATTTGCCCCTCCTCTCACCTTCAGAGCTGTGATCCGCCCACAGAGATAACAAAAGACCAGAAGGCAGAAAGGTACAGAATGCTAGTATGAGTAATGTTTTCCTATCAAATGCACATTTCTAGTTTTACCTCAAGCCATCCCCTCCCCTCCACCACAGAAAACATTTCCTTTGCTTTCAGGCTGAATCTGCAAAGATGCCTAAAACACCAGGTAACAACATCCTCACATAAATAGAAACAATGAGAACCTGGAATAGTTACTAAGTATGGATCAGAATTAGGTTGCTAGGAAATAGCTTAATACATTGCTTCTTGCTTCAAACTGCAATAATCTAGATGTGAAAGTTATTCATTTCTGATGAAAATTCTAAAATGTTATAATTGAATAAATTATTTATTCTTTTTTTCCCTGTGACATGACATCATTTAGTTTTGCTAGTTCTCCAAATGACACAGTTGCAGAGCCTCTTTCAGCTGGCCTTGCCTGAAAACAATAAAAATGAAAGATATTAGATATAGATAAGCCCAGAGTAATTCCAATCATGTTATGCATAATAAAACATACCCTAAGTCAATCAACAATGGGAAACAAAGAGAAACATAAACCCTCTAGGAAAAGATAGACCTTAATAATGTTACCTGAGAGTCATGGTATTTCCATCCTATCATGTGGTAGATTTGGTAAGTGGCAGGTATGGAGCCATCCTCATTTCTGTACATTTCTAAAAAGACACACGTGGTTAAATTCTGGAAACAATCAGGTGAGGAAAAAGTATCTGCTCAATAAAATAAAATCACGTATTTTAAAGAGAAATGGGCATTAAGGTAACTGCAGGGCTGAGAATGAATGCCTTACAGAAGAAGTCTTAACACAGAGAAGCTGACACTTTGGAAACAAGAACTGTTTGGAAACAGATACAGAGCTAGGATCTATGTTTAGAGAGAATAAAACCCACGAAGTCTGACAATATCATACAAGAAGGAAACAGCACTGTGGAGCCAACAGCATACAGCACAAACCCCTCCGTGAGTGCAGGTAAGAAAGGGTGGGCAGCTTACCTCTGTAAACCGCTGCAGCTGCCAGCATCGTGTCTCGGTGCAGCAGGGCTTTTCTGTTCCAAGAACAGTTGCTCTCACCCATACCTAAAAATAGACTACAGTTTGAGAAAATACTGCAAATACCCTCGCAGCTCAGGATAAAGACATGATCCATCTTATCCAACAGCGTACCTATCATCAGTCTCATCTACCTTCAGATGATAGCTAGCCTGCTTTCTGACTGCAGCAAACCTGCTTGAAGCCTCTTCATTATTAAGTCGGGTAAGAAACTCTCAGAAGGGAAGCCCCAGGATGCTTCTTCCCACAACAGCCACCGTCTATTGTAAGACAGCTTTAGACTCCAGATGGGTCACAAACATTGACAAGTGCCTTTAAAGAAAACCACATCTTACACCCCTTCTTGTGATGCTGTGACAACGCCCTCCTCCTTCTAAGCAGCATATATAATTACAAGCTCAAAACTTGGAAAAGGGCTATAGGACTCATTAGACAAGACTAACGCCATGTCTTCAAATTCTGTGATATTTTACTAACACTAGATTTAAAAATTATGTGGATTTCCTACAGAGGCACTAGCTTAACATTTTAAAATTAATCTTCAGACCTCTTCCCTTATTTTAAAATTTCAAACTGTTTCCCTAAGTTGATGGTAAGAAGTCATTTTTACTGGCAATTATTATTGTAGAGCTAGAGAGACAGGTGGTACAGTGGTTGCTTAACATGTTCAAGAGGCTGGGGATATGAGTTAATGGGTAACTATGATCTCCAGGATCTAACATAAAAAGCAGGTGTGCCAGGCAGTGGTGGCACATGCCTTTAACCCAGCTTGAGGCAGAGACAGAAGGCAGAGGGCAGGGGCAAGGGCAGAGGCAGGAAGATCTCTGTGAGTTTTAGGCCAGCCTGTTCTACAGAGTGAGTTCCAGGGCAGCCAGGGCTACACAGAGAAATCCTGTCTTGAAAAAAAAAAAAGAAAAAAGGAAAAAGCTAGGTGTGGTGTTGCCTGCCTGTGATCATAGTGCTGGAAAGGGAGACAAGGGAATCCTTGAGGCAGCTCATTCTAAAAATTAGTGAGCTCCAGGTTCAGTGAGAGAAAGAGAGAGAGCAACAGATGATACTGACAAAGACCTCTGACAACCACATGTGTACACATATGGAGGCTGCACACACACTCATATGCACACATAAGCATATCTCACACACACACACACACAGAGTCCTGGGTTCATTTCCAAGTACCACAAAAAATAAAGATAAATTAATATAATATCAAATTAATGTTATATATATTTCTTTATATATTCATTTGTTTGTTTGTTTGTTTGTTTGTTTATCTATTGGTTTTTCAATGCACAGTTTCTCTGTGTAACAGCCCTAGCTGCCGTGGAACTCACAGAAATCCACCTGCATCTGCCTGCCTCTGCCTCCTGAGTGCAGGGATTAAAGGCGAGCACTACCACCACCTGGTTCTTTATTTATACATATAAATTTAAAGTTATTTGGAAAGGTCCTGTTTAAGATCATTCTACAAAATAACTAAAGGAACTTTAAAATGTTATAATTATAATACTAAAACTTATTACATGTCGGGCAGTGGCAGCACATGCCTTTAATCCCAGCACTCTAGAGGCAGAGTCAAGCAGATCTCTGAGGCCAGCCTGATCTACATAGGACAGTCAAGGCTTCACAGAGAAACCCTATCTCAAAAAAACAAAAACAAAAACTTGAGCAGTGTCTACTATTTACTTTCACTAATCAAGAAATGATTTATTTTCTTCAAGAGTTAAAAATAAGTGATTTTAAATTTTTATTTAAATAAAATTTTAGTAATAAAATTAAATGCACACACTGCTTTTGCTAAGGGTCTGAGTTTGGCTTCCAAAACACATCAGGCAGCACACAACAACCTAGAACCCCAGCTCCACAGATCTGACAGCTTCTTCAGGCTTCTGAGGCCACTGCTTCAGTAAGTAATGAAACTGACTGTACTAATATAACGCCCTGTGTTTATGAGCTTAATGGCCCAATTCATAAAGATTATTAATAGCTACAAACTAGAAAGTTAACGAAAATTGTGGCTGGGTGTAAACTGTAAACACACATTTACCATCCCAGCACTTAGGGTACAGAGGAGGAGGACCGTGATTAGAGAGGGTCATCCTCAGCTATGAGACCCCTTTTCAAGTACACAAACAAACAACCTCCAACCAAAACAAAAAGCACTGGGGGCTGGAGAGGTGGCTCAGTGGTTAAAAGCATGTACTGCTCTTCCAGAGGACCTGAGTTCAATTCTCAGCACCTACATTAGAGGCTCATAATGTCCAGTAACTCCAGTTTTGGAGGATCCACTGTCCTCTACGGGCATCTACACGTGTGGCATATGCTGAGAGACACACACGAAAGAGAGAGAGAGAGAGAGAGAGAGAGAGAGAGAGAGAGAGAGAGAGAGAGAGAGAGAGAAAGCTTAAAAAATATTTTAGACCCACTCTATATTCATCGTAAAAATATTCTTCCACATAGTGAATATCAATCACATAGTGACCAAAAGTAAACTAGGGTCATTACCGATGAGGGACACAGTCACCTTAGTTTCTGTTCAGCTTTCCATGGCCCTGGCTTCCTTACACATCACATGCAGTAAATACACATACAGCACAAAATGGACTACTAGACGTTCTAAAATGCTTTTCAAACAATCACTGCTTGCATATTCTAAATAAGATCATTAGGCACATGCCACCTCTGCGGGGCTGACCCAGCTCAGTTATAGAAGATTCAAGAGCACACTCCACAGCATCAGCAGCAACTCCACTGCCTCAGGAGTCCACTCTTCCTCGGGCCGCACACTGTCTCACTGAACACCACCCCCCCCCCCCCAGCTTTCCTTGTGAAGTACTGAAGAGAACCTGAACCCTGGGAGCACAACTTTATGTAACCTAGGACAAGAATGGTTCTACCTTTAGTAAAACCAGTTTTTCATCTTTAAAATGGAGTATCTTATAGTACACCGTGGGGAAGCTTGACTGTCAACCACCTAGAAAGTCATCTATGACAGCGGACTCGACCTGAGCTTGTGATGAGACCAGACGGCAGGGAACTGTTTAAGACTCTCGGTGCTTTCACATTTGATCTTGGCCAAAAGGTTGAGGTTTCTCACAGTGTTTTTAAGGTTAAGTTCAACTGCTTATTAAAAACAAACTTTAATATGTTATTACTGGAGCAATGATGAATACTGCCTTAAAAAAACTGAATTTACCTTAAGACCACTGTGAAAGCCTTGAAAATTTCTCATGTATTCATCAGCTGGTAATGCAACTTGTTTGTAAAATTATGTCAATATTCTGGACTTTTTTCTGTGAATTAATAATAATGGCAGCTAAAACGAGACACACCTCAACTATTCGGAAAACAACCACAACACAGATGAAGAATACAAAAGCCAATGGGGAGATAACCACCTTCCAGTCAGCACAGCAGCACCCTGCAAGCACCCAAGCTCATGCAAGTCTCATAGCCCTTGGCCTTTTCCTACAGAGTAAATAGCTGTGATTTCAGGCTATGAATGAATTAAGTTGTCTGCCTCCACTTGGACAAGGTCCTTACCTGTCTGTGTCAGTTCCTCGTGTATCAGGACAGACTGATCATACTAGTTCCAGTCTTAACCTTCCTATAAGCCATGCCTTATAAGCATGCAGTGTGCTTCTTCTATTCCCAAATCTGACTCATCTCTGCGGGAAATTCTCAAGACAAATCTGCTTCTTCTATACACGTAAGCAATATTATTACCATAGTTGCCCCAACACAAGCTTAGGATACACATGGCCTTTTATATCTCCCCACTCATGCTTTATACACATCATTCTCTGTGTCATCCCTCCAAATATTCCCTACACTTCATCCTCCTGGACAGCTAACCTTAGCTTAGGTTCAGCCTTTTCTACAAAAGACTCCCTGACATCATAAGCAGATTTAAGGCCAAATCCCTTCTGCTTCTCTCATTTTACAGATTTGTCTGTCTATCTTGGAAGTTCTTTATTAGCAACTTGAGATCAGAAACGATGTGTCTCTCCCACTGGCTGAGGAGTTAGCACACGGCAACTGCTCAATAAATAGTAAGTGAAAAATATAAAATCCAGCAGTTAACATTTTGTCTAGTTTCTCAAATAGCATGTTTACACATATAACTCTTCTTAATCCACTGACAGATAAAAACATCAGAGACATGTGACTTTCGTAGAAGGCCTCACAGTAGAGATAAAGTATCAATGGAAAGGGTAAGTGTGAAAAACACAGCCTCAAAATGTAAGACGGCTTAAGACCCCATGGAACAGGCATCACCAACTGGAAAGGGGCTGAGGCACCCTTCTGAGGGACCAGAAAGGTTTTAAAACTTGGTCTAGAAGGTGGTTAAAAATGCAAACAGTTAAAAATGCAAACAGCCTTGTAGAAGGAGCTGCGTTCCTGCCGCCCAGCTCCCGGCCACCTTGCTAGCTTATGCCCCGAAATAACAACACACAAATTGTATCCATTTAAACACTGCTTGGCCCATTAGCTCTAGCCTCTTACTGGCTAACTCTCATTACCTTGCTTAACCCATATTTAGTAATCTGTGTAGGACCAGGAGGCAGTAGCTTACCGGGAAGGATTCTAGCCTAAATCCATCTGGGGCAGGAGCTTCATCGTGTCTGCTCAGAGAGGAGAGGCATGGCAATTGCCTCACTTCCCTATTCCTCCCAGCATTCTATTCTGTCTACTCCACCCACCTAAGGGCTGGCCTATCAAATGGGCCAAGGCAGTTTCTTTATTAACCAATGAAATCACCTACATCACAGCCTGAAGACCATGTATGGTGATTTGAAGAGAATAGCCCTTGAATGAGAATGATCCCCATAGCTGTATCTGAATGTTTGGTTCCCAGTAAGTGGAACTGTTAAGGAAGAATTAGCGGGTATGGCACTGTTGGAGTAGGTGTGGGCTTTGTTGGAGAAGGTGTGTCTCTCCCTGCCTGCTTGCCAGTAGATCAGGAGGTAAACTCTCACCTTCATGCCTGCCTGCATACCACCAAATTCCCTGACATTTCCCATGAT